TTTTGTTTTTTTTTTTTTTTTTTTTTTTTTTTTTTTTTTTTTTTTTTGTGTATATATATATATATATATATATATATATATATATATATATATATTTATTGTATTAATTAAATATATTTTCAGTTTATAAAACACTTTTCTTGTTTTAATTATGTATATTTTAGTTTTAGTCTTAAGAACTAAAATTTACGAATATTATTAAAGAACAGATTCCGACATCCCCTCTCGAGGACAAATATTGTGTTTCTCATTTCTTTTGTTGCTTTGGCAGATGAACAAGGGGATGCTCAGTGTCACGATCGTGTTCTTGTGATAGCGAGACAGCATTGGGCGACACTTGTTCTAACCAAGCGAACAAGTTAGCCTTGAGAAATTCGGACGTCGCGAACAACGTCGGCGTATGTGTGGGCCTCGAGTCGCGTTACGAAAAAATGTTTAGAAAACGTGAGCGAGGAAATACATTGGAAACCGGTTCGAATAATTGAAAAAATCAACGTTATATGATTATAAGCATAGAAACGAATACGACGATTTAAATATCATATAACTCAGGGTAGGAAGAAGTGACAATTAGTCATATCCCTTATAGTACATTTTAGGGCATTTTAGCCCTGGTGGGGGTAGACGTGATTTTAGTGAACCAATATGAAATGCTAGAGGCCTATCTAGGATGAAAGTATGTAAAAGAAGTTTGGAACGGGCATACAACCATGGACAACACGTCCTAGACAAGTAAGATCGAGATATCTGTCATGCGGCCATAGACAACGCGCCTTGGATAAGCATGACTGTGACATCCTCCCCCACTTAATTGGTTGACGTCTCTGTTAACCAACTCGAACAAGCAAGACTGAGACATCTGTCATGCAGCCATAGACAACATGCTGACCGTAACACTCAACTGCATGGAATACAAGTGGTAATGGTGCTGTTAGACCTTCAATTCTTAGACTCCGTCAACAATCAAACCCAACTTACTTTAAATACGACTTGATGATTTAAAAAGTACGAATAATTTATATAAGTAACCTTACATACATGGTCAACAACAAAAGTAATTATCGACTTGCTTCTTTATGATTGTATCTACTTCAATAAGAACGCACTCAGTTGTATCGAATATAGTCAAAAGAAAAAAAAAAAAAAACATTTCATTTTATATTTTCAAGTACGTATGATTTAACAAATTACACAAATTTATCAATAAACCAAAGCAAAATGGTGTTGGGAGCAATCAATAGTGACCATTAAGAACCTGTATGATGCTCATGACTTTATGGACAGCCGCATAAATAAAGGGAATAATAATAGTAATAATAATAGCCAACAAGCACAGAACATGAATGCTTTCACAACTATTTTTAAAAGAGAAAGCGGAAATCACGTTGAAGGCCGGCAAAAATTAAGCAAAAAACTCCTCGTTCAGTGAATCCCAGCTAGCCATTTCAATCATTTTCAGGCTCCATCTCATTCAATCAATATATTAGAATATAAAACAGACATACACACACCAATATAACTAAAGATGAACCCATCTGAACATAGCTAAGTAGATAACACACAAATTCGTGTTGAATGAAAGAAAACGATGATATTACTCATAAGAAGAAGAGTAGCAGCATGCAGCAGCTCAATTCATTGAAAGTCATAATAAATAAATATTTTGGTCAGATTGAAGAATATACGAATCCAAAGAGTTCAAGAATATGATCTCTTTTATGTCTGATGACTACAAAAGAATGAATGTGTCCTCCCTATAGTTATTTACCCAGCATCATTGTAAGCTCTTTTTTCACTCACATCTCTCCCTATCTACAAACGCCCTTTCAACAAATCAAAATTCTGGAAACGAAAAAACTTACAGACGTACAGACGGACGGACGGACAGACTTTCGAATCACAGCAAAGCATTCGCCTTAGCTCAGCCCCTTCTTCTCCTTCTTTTCCAGTTCTCTGTCCCTCCTCGATGATTAAGAAATGCGGGTCTTTATTGGTTTTAGCTTTAATCCCATGCTTTCTGGAGAAAGGAGCTCTGGGGAGATGCAAGATGGACTGAGCGGACTCCGTGGACTGTCGCTGAATTGGCATGGTCTATACAACCCGTATCCCATGAAGAAGTACTCCATTGGTATCAACATTGCGTGTGGCTGCTCTTCAGTTACCATCGATCCACAAGCTTGGACCTGCGTGAATCACCCCCCCCCCCCCCC